AGAGAGAGAGAGAGAGAGAGAGAGAGAGGACTCTGAGCGTACAGAATATAACACAACAAATATGGACTAATGCTTTGGGAATAGGGTTTGGAAAAAGAGAGGCAGAGATAGAGATACTGCAGAGAGTGAGAGAGTAGAGAGCAGTCAAGTGCTGAACAGAGCGTACATTTGGATCGCAAACGGAGCCAAACATAACGAGAAAGACATTCGTAATGATCACATCACAGACACACCACTCAATGTGACCTTCGCTTCTTCGCTGCCTTTTGCCTCATTTCACTCCAACTCTCATCTCAACAAAACCTCTCCGAAAAGCTTACAGAATATAACATTGTTTTGACTGTTTTTATGCCAAATAATTACTAGTTTTCATAACATCCAGCACTTGGTTGTGCCTAATAAACAATTCATTAAAAGTTATGTTCGCTTATGATTCACAACACTTACACTGAATTCAATGAAAATCTATGCTTTAATATGAGTTTTGCACTCAAGTCTCTTCAATACAATGAATTCAATCGCGTTTCTGGTGTTGTGTTGTATTAGTTATTATAAAATCCCATCAGTTTATGGCAATTTACCCGATAATTACACACTAACTATAGTTCACGCCAACGATCTGTTCTCGGCCTTTGCCGGCGTTCAAAGTGATAACAGTTTGTGTGATCTCAACACTCGTCCCGATCAGTGTATCGGAGGAGCGCCTAAAATAGTCTCAAAGGTATGGAAAACAAAGCCAATCCCTTTCCTATTGTGAACAGCATTTTCTTCTTCTTCTTCAAACACTTTTATTATTTATTTTCAACACATTTTTCGTGTTGTGTCTCAAGAATTCATAGCAAAATGAAAGAATATGTAAAAATATTTTGCTGTTTATATTACGGTATAATAAGTGATGTTTTCTTTCAGTTAGAACACAACTCGTAGTAATTTTGTGTTTTTCTATGCAATCCATCAAATCTGTTATAATGTTTATTTGACTTTTGGTGTTATAGTTATAGCGATCTGTGAAATACTGATTAAAGACATGCATATAATAATACTTATGATTATTGCTTACAAAATTGCTTATAAAATTTGAAGACTTCATCAAATTATTTCATTTCATAGCTGTTTATAATTAATGCCATTTCGATGGCAGTCAATAATGTGTGAATTACTTCACTTCCCTCTTAATTAAACGTTTCCTTATTTTAAGCATAAATTTTAAATAAATATTTGCGTTAATAAGTAGTTAATAAAACATGAAATATTATTTAATAAATTAAAAACATTTTAGCAATTTTACGATAAAGAGTTATTAAAGTTTTGTTTTTCTTAATATTTTAATCAAATAACAATTGATTACATGACTATATATTAAGTTTTATTGCTTAGAAAACATGTTTGAATGGTTTATGAGATCAATGGATAGAAACCGATATATATTTATCAAATGCAAAAATCAATAAATTTTGTCAGAATTTGCACTTTTCTCGACATTTGAGACGATTTTTAGTTTAATTTATGGCTAAATATCGATTACTCTGACAATAAAAGCGCCCAAATGTCTAATAAGTATTGATTTCAACGCTTAATATAATAGTTTGATGAATGCATTAGACTTATGGGCTAATCGCACATCTGATTAAATTTTTGGTTAAATTTCCCATTATTTTACTTCATAATTGTGTTAGTAGTCGTAACAATGAAAGTATTATATTTTAAATGTTTAAATTGGTTTAAGACCTAAATTAAACACAGCATTCATTGCCAACAATTATATGTAAAACAATACTTTAATGACTGTATTTATCAAAACCCTTTGTTAATTATCTAAACACAAAAATACTAATAATTTATTCAGTTAATTGAATAAAAACACGAATTCTTAGCCAATGACTGGCTTTGCATATTGAAAATGATTGAAAATAATGAAGTAATTACTTATAAATAGATAAACGAATGGCGCTCTCGAGAGCCCATAATCTTTGTGAACGGCGGCAACAATTTGGGCGGCTTTTGGTACAACCAGTTTGGACCGCAAGTACTTTCCGACTTCTTTAGACACCTCCAGTTTGATGTCATAAATTTGGGTTTAAGTGACTATGAGTTATACGACAACGACTCGGAGACCAGCGAGACGTTCGCTAACGTCACACAGTTTATCACTTATGTCTCCCATTTCTCGAGGATTATCTCTTGTAATGTTGCCGTCGAAACCAAATACATTAGTAATTTCTACTCCAATGTGAGGCCGACGGCCAAAATATTGGGTTCCGAACAAACGAAGATCGGATACATCGGGTTTGTCAAGAATCCAAACAATCCAACCTTAGTGTCGACCGCCAAAAGACAGTCTAATAGCAAACCTGGCTTTGAATTCGTCGACATTCGGGATCCGATTAAGTGTTTGCAAGAAGAGAGCGATAATATGCGGAAGAATGGCATCGACATAGTGCTGGCCATTGGAACCGGTGATGAAGACCTGTTTAAAGAGATCGCGTTGAATGTGCCGAACGTGGATGTCGTGATCGGAAGCTATGCTTACACTAAGAATGTGTCACTTTTACGGGAGAGAACGGCAACTACTTATCCAGATTTGGTGGTCAACGGGAGTACAGGCGCTACAGTTATAGCCACAGCCGATGTGTTTGGCAAAAGCATTGGCAGACTTTCCGTTACTTTCGATAGGAAAGGGAATATTAAGTCAAGCGAAGGAACGCTCATTAAATTAGATAATAAAATAGCTTCGGGTAAGTCAGCAAAAGTCTATATATAATCATTAGTGTGTATTTGCGATACACATAAATAAAACGACGATTACATTCTTGCGCTGCAAATGCTTTTTCAATTATAGAAATGAGTTAATCCTTTTAAATTACATTTCACGCGATTAGTGATCTAATTTTGTTTGAAAACAGTTTGACTAAATCTATCATTTTTGGCGATCAAAACACTGACAAAAAATATTAATCAATTCCGTTTAATCGCATCGAAAAATCTAATTTTGAAAATTACTAAAACAGATAATTATGTTATTTATATTCGCGTCGAGAAGCAAATCCACTGAACGATTTGAGTTATCTATAAATTTCACACAATTATTTGTTATATACAGTAATATTACCCCCCATTGTATGTGCGGTGTGTGTGAAAGTGAACCCAAGACAGAGTCGGGCAGATGTTATTGTGGGCCATGAGTTGTGAAGAGAGCACCAGTTGTGAGGGCCCTGACGTCGGCTTCAGATATTTTTTTGTTTGCAAAACCAGATGAATGTCGAAAAGTGTCGCTCAGATAAATAATTGAACGAAATATTGCATAACAAGAGGGATGACCAGAATTTGATCAATTTTCGGGGAGTTATTTGTGGGCCCAATACGTACTGTAGCGGTGGTGGTGTTGCTTATAATGGGTTGCATTGGGTGCACCTGGTATTGGGTGGAGTAGTTTGATAGCATTATATCATACAATATTCGCTACTATTATATTGAGCTAATCAGCAAACAATATGCGAAAAAGATATATGAAATTCAGGCTCCGGGCTATGGTTTATGTGTTATTGTATACCAATTGGTTATCCCCTCTATTTTTATTAGACCATTAATTGCTCTCCACTTGAAAACTGGTTTCACTTTTATTACACCGAAAAAAGTACTGTTTATTCAAATAGAGAGAGAAAAATACATCAACTTTTGACAGTTTTAACGTTACATTGCATTCAATTCGACAATTGAATTACAACTAACAGAACAACAGTTTTTATTTGATTTTTTCAATTCATTTCTATTATTAGCGCTGAATATTGAATACATTTATGAAAACATTTACATTTCATATGAATATTAATTTTTAAAAACAGATAAACAGACGGACCAATTGGTGGAGAGCTATCAAAGAGGTCTATACGTCGGTACGACCAAAGTATTTCTGGATGCGTCCGAGTGCTCGACCCGAGAGTGTAATATCGGGAACTTAATGGCAGATTCTTTGCTCTTCTATCGGATTAATTATATAAACGAATCATTTATTAGAACAACGATTAAAACGAAAGGAAATGAAATATTAAAAGCGAGAATTGACGAGAAGAGAGATGTAATCGCTTTGATTAGTAGTGAAAGCATCTCAAACTCAATCGGAAACGTCAAGTCTGATGAGTACTTTATCACTAAAATAGGTTTATATTATAGTTTAAACAGAAGAGACCCTAAAATTCAAATGTTTATTTTGGATGGAAAGACAATCAGGCAGTTATTGTCGGCACACGTCTGGCGCACAGACTTACTGCAAGTGTCGGGAATTAAAGTTATTTACGACCTCTTGAAACCAATTAATGACACAATTATTGATGTTTCCGTTAAGTGTAGCCTCTGTCCAAACAATACATACAATGCATTAGACGACAACAAATTGTATGATGTTTTGCTACCGCAGAGCATAGCATTGGATCAAAACGACCAGAGCTTACAAGTGGTCCAAGAGATGAATCTCTTGCCTCTTATTGAGCAATACATTAAAGAGAATTCTCCCATTAAGACAGCCATCGAAAACAGGATTACAATAATTGGCAAAAAAGGTATCAAAAAACCCTTTTAAACATTTTCTTAATTAATAATTACCCTCTAATTAACTGAATGTCTGGAAAAATATAATTTTTATGCAAATATTTTCTGCGAACAAACTCTCTATTCATGTCTGCATTTTCTAATCCATCAAACAGTGAAGCGATTCAAACATTTTATGTTAAATCTTGCGAATAAATTGGATTCACTATATTTTTAATATATTTTTATAGTATCCAAATTTAGATAGTTATCTAAATTTTAGTTTTATTATTAATTAGTCATTACTTTGGGTTCGACTGTAATTAAAACGTTCGCAAAATATGTTAATATAATTAGCTTTAAGTGTCGATTAGTGTTATAGCATTTAAGATGATGTTAACTCACAGAATATTATATGCATGTAATTCTGTGCTCACATATAAGAGACTCGAGACTCTCGCTAATTATTTAACGTTAACTTATATTTTTATTTTTATTTCATAATCATAGCTACGAATACAGCCTTTGGTGCAAAATCTGAGGCTTCGATGACATTATTCTGTGTACTAATAGCTGTCTGTCAGATGTGGCTATAATTAACAGCAACTTTTAACTCAACACAACTATCGTAAGACATGATAAAGATTCTTAATGAGTACTCATATTATGTTTACTCTATAATGTACATGCTAAATATGAAAAGTTTTTTTAAAATAATTTAAAGTACAATAATTTATACTGAAAACTCGATATAATGTAATAAACCCACATAAATATCCATTACAATGGATTATTCATTACACAAAAGGATCCTTTTTTAAACATTATAAATGTTATTTTGGTCCTCAAATATATTTAGGGATGAATTCATATTTAATGGTTCGTTCATTATATCGAGTTTTCAGTATACATATTAATATACAAAATATTCACTATTGAAAAACTGAAATAAATATTTATGTAAAGAGTTTTAGTCAAAATTATATTAATTTATATATGAAAATAATTTAAGATTTATGTCATAATAATGTAGAATATATGGAGGCATTCAATACTCGAAATGAATAATCATTAGATATGGTCTGCGAGTACTGCATATTATATAATATATTGTACATTACATACAGTGAGAATATACAGTACATTATGTTTCTCCGACCATTAAATGCGTTAAATTATACTCTTTTTATCTAATGGTTTAAATGTTATTCAAAGAAAACAAATAAAAATAAATATTTCCTAAATGTTATACAATTCTTTAACTGTTTGATAAAGAAAACAAAAACTCATTGTATTTATTAATTGAATCATAAATTATAAACAATAACTAATAAAAATTGATTATTTTTCGATAATTTCTTATACTATATCTTTGCTGTAAATGGAAATATTCCTTAAATTAAAATTGCATTAAAATTCCTGTCATTTCTCGAACTAATGGATGAGTTTTTCATTTAATGTAGAATTTTTATTTTCGTTTGGGAAATATGTCTTATTATTAGTACTTTAAATGGCAGTGAAAGTCAAGTCAAATGTCATATAAATTTTCGCTGACTTTTCGCGTTTGGAATGTTTGGGAAGTTTTGCGGACTTTTCTCCCATTCACTATCAATGAAGACATAAATATTCTTCGGGTTTAATGAACTCTCAAACGCTTTAAATAGAAAATAAAATACAATTTATTTTAATAGGAAACCGATCAAAGTCCTAAGTCAAGGATTTTACACTAGTTTCTTCTTCTTTTTTTTAACGATTTCAACCTAATTGTAATATCGTTTAAATTATTATTATTATTCTTGCCATTCATTTGCAGCGAATAATTCAATTCAAGGCTATATTGAGGAATATTGTATTCAATTCTAATGTAATGCAAAAACTGTATTCAAAAGACACTTTGCTGTGAGAGACAGAGAGTCAGAAATGAATTGAACGATAGTCTGTAGAGTTTGTATACAAAACGTGAAACGAGTTCTCACAACAGTAACTGGTTTTATATTAAACGAGCAATTTTTCCAATTGTTGTTTTTGATGCTTATTTAGGCTTAAATCCTATGTAAACGTAGGGACAGTTGGAAATGAATTTTTAACCATTTCTACAGTGCATTTGATGTCGAAGTACTGTTGCACTAATATATTGTCGACTGTTTTTATTATGTACTCAAAGTTCTGATCGCTGTATATATTGTATATAATCTGTGATTGACAATCACTGATTGAGCTAAATTGTATATAAGACTCAAATTTTAAATACTGAAACATTTGAGTGCTTTAATGAGTAAATAAAAGTCCTTCACTGATCACTAAATGATGATAATTTTCAATGTCGTCATCAAAATGTTGTCCATTTAAGACTAAATCAACGCTCAGTTTATATAAAGTATGAAACATTTGTTTGGTTAACATTAATGACAACATATTTATTTTTTGTGCAAAATTATCATTGCGTTAAAAACACTATAAGTTTGCGTGAATTTTGATTAACAAAATGAAAAATACTATAATATTTGTGGGCATTATTATTGCACAAATTTTAACCGTATATTCGCAAAATTTTTTGGTCACATTTGATCCGCCGGTGATTCGTGGACTCAATCAATGGAAATCTCAAAATATTACGTTCAATATCACTGCAATTGATCCCAACAGTCTGACCGGCGATGACGAATACGAGCTTGTATTAGGTCACTACCAGTTCTCTCAATATCATCGACAGGTTCTTGAGTTTGTCGACCAAAATGTTTACCACTTTAGAGTCACCGAAAGTGAGCCCATGTTTTCATCGCAATTCCAGATCAAAGCCCTATTTCTGGGCTATTCTAACATCACATTCACGCTCACGAAGAATACCACTTTTGTTGAGAAATTAGACGACTATTCAATTAGTGTCGTCAGAACTTCTAGCGTTTTTGATATCCTATTTAGTGTACTAATGATAAGTATGGTTACCGTTAACTATGTCAATATGGGCTGTCATTTGGATCTACAAATTGTGCTCAAGACACTAAAAAAGCCAATCGGACCGCTCATTGGGTTTGTGTGCCAGTTCACGATTATGCCCTTGGTGAGTCTAACATTTTAATACATTTGCAATAACTTGTATTTAAAATATATTTTTTAAATATCGATATTCAGTATTGTATTACATTATCATTTTGTATAAATCAAAATGAGATGCGATATCAATGAAACTGTCAGTTGCGAGAGAAAAGTGTTAGAATTGATGTCAAAACACAAAATGATATTCAGATATTCAGTGCATTGGGTTCTTCGGGCACACAATTGCCATCAATCAGAGGCACGACAGGCGATACACGGCTCACATGATTTGTACAAACCGTTTGTAACCCTCTTTAGTGCCACTTTGAGCGGAGAGAAGTTGTTTACAGAATCGTTAAAACTTAACTAAAATAAATAAAAGGCAACCATTTCTCTGACCAAACAGTTGTATAGTTAGAGAACAAACAGATTACTAAACATAGAGATTAGGATTTGTTGCGTTCAATGAATGGGGCTTTTGATTGCTTACATGCCTTACGCAATAAATAGTGGGCCGACAGCTGCTATACTCAGACATGTGTGGAAATCACATAATAATGATTGAAAAAATTTTGGATGAGATTTCGAGGAAAACATTTTATTTTTGAATTAAAAGTTTTTTGGCAAAAAAAGATGGATCGCATCGATGGGACAGTTAGGGCTCTCACAAACACTACCTGTCAATAATCACTCCCCTCTCTCCCTATGTACATTTATACTCTCTATATATTTCTTTCTTATAAACATTTTTCACACCAAACACAACGCCGTCGAAGCTATTGATTGAATATATTTTCTTATAAAACTTATCGCAAACTATAATATAATGGGAATCCAGTAAATAAGGCGATCAATAATCCGCTGTACGGTATATATTAACGCAATATTATGTGCAATAATATGTATTATACTGTATATAATTCACACCGAGATTTTGAAATATTTTCTATTTTTACACTTAAATACAACACATATTATTGTGAAAATATAGTGAAACTTTGACACAATTGCTTTGAAGCACGAAAGCAACACAAAGCCCAGTGATTACTCTTTTTATTCAAGTTATAAGTCCATAGAATTGTATAAAATCAATACAATTTCGTTTTATCATCATTATTTTAAAATATTATTACCGTAGTATTATCTTGTTAAATTGTTCTAATGTTAAATATTCACAAATAAAATAGACTTTAAGAAACACGAATAATATAATATCAATATATCACAATTAATAATTAATCGTTTATAAATTATAAATATAATTTTGTATTTTATTTATGTAATTATAATACAATATTTTACAAAATACATGTTTAATTAGTGTCATAAATTTGAAATTTTATAAATTATTAAACAGATAATAATATATATATAGGGAACAAATGATTTCATAATTAATTAAATGAATAATTGATAACAATATTAGGCCTCATATTTTATTGGATGGCTTTTGTTGGATGACATAAGTCTGCGTTTGGGTCTCTTCACTCTGGGCTGCTCTCCGGGCGGGAATTCAAGCAATTTTTGGACACTTTTATTCAATGGAGACGTGAATCTCAGCATAACTATGACACTTATCAGCACTATTGCCTCATTGGGTAAGTTTGCAATTTAAATGAATATCAATTCAATAATAGGTTATATAAGTTTTATTTGTTGCATAAAATGGTTTCTATAATACTGTATTAATAAATATATAACTACTTTGTCATACTGTATTAATTTACATATTATAAGATATTAATTTAGTTATTTAATATTTATATCGACTGATTGAAATTGAATTTCCAATGAATATTTTAATGAAGTAAACAGAATATAAGACAACAAAAATAGGTTTTCATGCAATTAAACAATCAATCAATAAAAACAAATGTAAAACCAACTCAGAAAATGTCATGTATTGTCAAATAAAGCAGAATAAACAGAATTCAGTTGAAATAAATATTAACATAAAAACGAACTGAAACTCAAACTGCTTTTTGTATATAACAAAAACATATCATGTAATGCATAAATAAATCTGAAATTTTATAATATAAGCAATGGATAAGAATACTATTAAAATAGATAAGCATTTATTGAAGACATGTTTGGTTGCATTCAAATCAGCATATTTTGTATACAAAAGACAATACACTTTTGCATTTAAGCTGACAATTATAGTTATAATTAGAGCTTTCACTCATGAAATTTGATCCATTCATAAGAATTGTGTTAAATTATGTACAATACTTGACCCAACAATTTATCATTATAATTAGATCTTATATACACTACATTACAGAACTGCTTGAATATAGTTTAAAGTGCATTATAGTAGGTCTTTAATTAGTTAGCTTGTTATTTTCAAAATATGTAATACATGTGTATAATGTGTAAAGTATATATGTATAACAATTATCAATTATTTAATTATAGCAATGATGCCATTATGGTTGTTCACTTTGGGCGGAAATCTATTCAGCGCAGGCAATATCCGGATCCCATACCTAAACCTATTGACATCGTTGGTTACGCTGACATTACCCATGTTTATCGGAATAGTGATCCGACACTATAAACCCAATTGGGCTAAAGTGTCGCATAAGATAATCAAACCCTTTACTATTGTTGTGGTTATATTCGGTATCGCCGGAAGCGCTATACTATATAACCACATATTTGTGATGTTCACGTGGCCTATTGTCATAGCCGGTGCTTTGGTGGCCATTAGTGGCTATAGTTTAGGCGCTATCATATCGGGTCTGTGCGGTATGAAGAGACCGCAGGTGGTGGCCATTTCCATAGAGACCGCCTATCAAAACGGCGGCATTGCATTCATTTTACTGATATTATCTCTACAACAACCGGACGCAGACATTGCGAGTGTGCCCTGTATTGCACAGCTATTAATCACTGGACAACCACTTTGGTTGGTATTGATTGGCATAAAGCTATGGAATCGTTTCCATCCACAGCCAGACAAAGAGATTGATAATAAAGAAGTGACAATCGCTGAACAAAAGGACAAAAATGTAGTTCATTTAGAAAACGGTTGTTATGACGGACCTTATGATGAGAAACCAAAGATCGATAACGACATTAACGTTAGTGTTGTTAACGACAATCAAATTATCACTAAGTTTTAACGTTAAGCATATTTTTACAAACTTTGATAGTTATTTTAAAACGTGTTTTTTACTCATTAAAATAATTACCGGTATATTATAATCTTATACTGTATGTATATTTTATGTTTGTATTTATATTATACTTATAATTAAATTTTTAACGATTGAATAAATATTTATGATGTGATCTGAATATAAGGATATTTATTTGAACTCAATTTTATTGTAATTAAAATGCTTTTAATGAATATAAAATGTTATAAAATAAAAAAGACTTAAAATAAATTTGAGAGTTTCTCGTAAACAATGGTAAGAATATGAATAAGAATATACGGAAATGACAACAAAAATAGCTTAATTAATAAAATTGATTAAATAACAACATTTTCGGGCAGTTCATCGAGTTTAATGTCGAATCGACTTTGAATTTCATTGCGAATCTTATCCGCCATATAACCAGATATAAACGAAATGGCGATACCTTTAGTGCCAAACCTTCCGGCTCTCCCAACGGCGTGCAAATAGTCGTCACTACACTCTGGCATATCGTAATTGACCACAAGATTGACTCTATCGAAGTCTATTCCCCGATCAAACATTATGGTCACCACTAATATACGTCTCCTATAGGACTTCACCAACTGATAGTTGTTTAGACGCATCTCTTGTGATAGAGACGAGTGAATGGGAACGACAGACATATTCATACTATAGAGTGATTCGTACAACGCTTTGCATCTTTGAATTGTGTTCACAAAAATAATTGTCTGTTTGTATTCAACGTTAGCTAAGATTTGGCAAAGTTTTTTGAGTTTCTCTTTTTCGAGAATCTCGACATAAAACTGTTGCAATCCGTGAAGAATAAGCCTACGATCGTCACCGATAATCACTTCCAACGGATTCTGCATTAATTTTCGGGCTTTAATGTGCAAATTCTCATCCATTGTGGCGCTAAACATCATTATCTGTCGCTCAGTCGGTATGCTTTGATTGATGAATAAGATTTGTTGGATTGTGTCTGTCAGACAAATAGCAGGTAAAATGTGTAGGATTTTGGTTAATTGCCATTAATTACCTCTTTCAGAGAGCATTTTGTCGAACTCGTCGATCACAAAGTGCTGAACCCGTGTTAAGTCAATGGTCTTATCGCGAATCAATGCTATGAGTCGTCCAGCAGTGGCGACCACTATATTCGGTCGGTTAACCCGAAGACATCGTTCGTCCATTCGCTGCGGTATTCCTCCGATAAGAAGAGCCGTCTCTACGTTCATATATTTGCTGAACCGGTCGTACTCTCGGGACACCTGAAAGGCCAACTCTCTGGTGTGGACGAGTACTACAACCTCTATACTATTACTCTTTGTGTCCAATTGCTGGAGAGTCGACAAAACAAAGACACATGTCTTTCCCATTCCGGACTTCGCCTGACAGAGAATATCGACGCCGAGTACGGCCTGTGGTATGCATTCGGTCTGCACTTCGCTTGGATTCTCAAACCCGCAGTCAGTGATCGCTCGCAACAGCTCTGGTTTCAAAAGAAAATCACGAAAACTTGTGTTTTGTCTGTTTTCTGTGATCTTCTCGGGACTCTTCAGCAGATTATAATCGTTGCCATTAAGAAGCTGTTCGTTATTAAACTCTTCTTCGTCGTCTTCATAGTCTAGTAATTCAAAGTCAATTTTTAGATCTGAATCCATATTCAAGGCATCGAAACAGTTTGTAAAACATAAATAAACATTATGTAAATGTATAATTTTAAAATTATTTTAAAACACGTTTAATAATTAGATTCCTATTTGTTAGTCATTTATTGTTAATCTAAAGTCTAACAAAAGTGAAGGAATTGTATTTTGTGTAAAAAAAGTGCGAATACGTGTATCTCATGATTGAGTTTAGCATTAGGCTTATCGTGTGTTTAAGAAATGGATATTTTTGTTAAACTCGTTGAATTATTTGTATTTTACCTGAATATTAGGATTAACGGTATATTTAAATTCAAGTCTAATAAAATATATTTTAAAGAGTTTAAAGAGTAAAGTAAAATGAAATGTGTAAGCACCCAATGCACCAAGTTTATGTTTAACATCAACATACATGTATATTTTTATCATTTTACTTTGTATACTTATAGCACGAGTAATCAAAATTGATTCAATAATCACACGCCTATGGAATCTGTGGATGAAAGAGATTGAGTGTTGAAAATATTACATTAATATGTTATGAAAGCACTAAATTCTGTATATGTTATAAATATAGTGTTTATTAATTCAATTTATCTGACATTGAAATGATTGCAAAATTATTTCGTCTCTTTCTATGGTTTATTGAGATTTATATGATTTGTTGAAATAGTTTTTATTATATCAATTAAAGTACAGTAAAGTATGTTTATAACAAACAATTTAATAATATAGATCTTGTTTACTAAATATTCACATCACAAAGAATTTACAATAAAAACAATTTAACTTGGTCATACAACTTGTAATTGTATAAATTAGATTCTTAGTTTATTTATTTGTCCTCAATATTATTATGCAAGCTATATATGATATATTGTATTTGTTGTACGAATTTGTTATACAGTGGTATGTTTTATACATAAATTGCATTTAATAAATTAATTTTTAAAAATTGATGAAAAATTAGTCGTTTTCTGTCAATAATTTAATTAGAAATAAATGGATAACAATATTATTATTAGAGATGGAACTCAAAATGATTTAAATGCAGTCAATGAGATTTATAACTATTATGTCTTGGAATCGACGGCCACTGCAGAGGAAATGCCATCCAATATAGACGAGAGAATCAATTGGTTTAATGGCTTAAAAGAAAAAAGACTGCCAGTTATTGTGGCCGAAATCAACGGTCAAGTCATAGGCTGGGCATCTGTTTGTCTATTCAATGAGAGAAGTGGTTATCGTTTTTGTGTCGAAGATTCCGTTTATTTGGATAAAAGTTGTCTCAAGAAAGGTATCGGAACTTTACTTATGGATGAGTTAATAAAGAGAGTGAAAAGTCTTGGATTCAAATCAATCATTTCAAAGATATGCGAAGAACAGCAGAAAAGTGTGACATTTCACGAGAGGTATGGCTTTAAAACAGTTGGTGTTATGGAGAATGCAGTTCTTAAATTCAATCGTTACCTCAATATTGTAATTATGCAAAAGGTTTTGTGAATTATGTTGTTTATTACACACATAAATGTAATTAAGTGCTAATGATTGCACAGCTCTTATGATAATTATAATAAAAATATTTTTGCAATTATTGTTTATTATTAATAACTTTTGAACAACAATGAAATTAATTGTCCAACTGTTTCATTGCATGCTTATAATTGCATCTAGGCTCAATTACTTACACTTTTTAGCCCAATATTTGTTCCTTACGTTAAATATACCGAACAGAATTTGATAGCATTATTGGTTTAAAATTTTTTGTTTTATTGCAAAACAAAATATAGATACAAATAATAACAATTACAATGATAATATATAACTACTTGTAATTATATATTAAATATACTGTACATTATTTGTGGCATCAATTGATTTATCATCAAATGTATCAGAAAATTTAGTCGTCAATAATAAATATCTGATATAAATGAGAATTAACTGAAAAGAAAAGTTCAATTAAAAACTTATAATATATGCAATAATGTACCATGGTCTATGGATAGTACAGTACAATTACATTGTTATTAACGGTAAGATTATAGATATTGAACTTACTTTAAAAAGGGTTGTGTTAGTCATGAGGAATAGAGGGCCGACAGTGAACGCAACGGAAGTGTTGGCCATCCCTTCATATAAAGTCATTACTTGCAATTTGGTCCTAACATTACAACTATGTATTTCACTGATAATCATTTGAATTTTATACAATTTATTAGCCGTGAAATGCATTGTTTTTGGTACAAGTGATGCACAATAAGATACAAAGAATACAAATACCCATGATATAAATACAATAAAACAATTTAATAAATATGAATATATCTGCATGTCTTTGAATAATACTTGATTTAATAAAAGTAAATTCAATGGAATAAGAGTTACCAACAGATAAAATAAATATATTGACCAAAACCTATTGAATATTTTTATTTCATGAGAAATAATCATGTGTTGTTTTACCAATTCATTAGCAATTGTCAATCTATTATTCTTATGGATATTTTTACGGTAATTGTCAATCAATTCATCCATTTTATCATTTAATATCTCTGCTCTTAGTTTTATAAAATAAAACAATAAGTATAAGAAAGCGCTTGTAGTGTGTGTGTCGTAACCAATATAATAACAACTTATTAATATTAGAGAACCAAATCCTATTGAATACACATATTGTTTAAATGTATAGAATTCTATTGAGATTCCGATGTACATCAATACCATCAGCAAAACTATAAAATTAATAATTTCTAAATTAATACAAATACATACTATTGTTAACAGACTATTATAAATACTCACATAAATTATAGAATGAATATTCAGTCAATTGAAATACAAATTGACATCTTTTGAGAAACTTTTTGACGACAATAATGTGATTACTTGTGAGACCAATCTGTAGGGGAGTTATGTATCCACAACTCATGTCAAAGGGTTGTCTCCATTGGAATAGCTTTGTGTCAGAAACCAAGTAAAACATGTATCGAAGAAAAGCGGCCCAAAAGAATGCCATACAATACGCAAACAAGTAGTAAGTCTTCACTCCATTCATAAAGAAACTCCAGTCGACAGTAATTATATGAATTTGCGGTGACATTGGATATAACAGATATACCATATTTTTAATCATATTAAATACATGTATTAAATTTATTAAATAACTTTTAAGTTTGCATTTTACAATCAAGCTTTTGTTTCTTTTCTGACCAGTAATGTACAAACGTTTTGATAACAAATCAAAATAATTGATAAACCATTTATGCTTAACCCTAATACTTGGATCTAAACGTTGATCGAGTTTAATTTTATAATTATTTAATCTCCATGCAT